GAGGTGGTGGCCGCCGTCGTGAGCTGTCGTTGATCACCACTACCCGAGGTGGTAGTGGGTGGTGCCCGACTAGCGAAACCCTAATGGGCCTAGTGAAACCCTAATGGGCCTAATGAAACCCTAATGGATCTAAGGACTTAGTTATTGGGCCTATTGGGTTGGGAGTGGGTTGGAAACCCTAATTACGGTTTAGAAAACCCTAATTGTAGATATATGGGCCTTGGACTTATCGGGACCCACATTTGGGCCATTGGAATGGAATTGTGAATTACACCCAATCACATCATATGACTTATCTAGTAGAGTGATGGACTTAATGGATTAAGTCCTTAATGGGTTAAGTGAGAAACACTTAACCCTAATTGTTATTTTTTGTGAAATTCTAATTTCACTTGGGCTTTGTGTTGGGCCTTTCTATTGGGCTTTGGTGATTGGGCTAATAATGGGCTATCCAAGAACAATCAAATGGATTAGAATATTTAGATGGGCTTTAGGGTAAGGCCCATATGAAGGTTTGGGCCCAATTTGGAAAATTAGGCCATAGATGGGCCATAGTATGGGCCTTAATGATTATATGATATTGGGCCATTAGAATGTTAAATATTGGACTAGAATAATGGTTTGGGCCTTAGAATAAGACCATGTAATGGTTTGGGCCCAATGTGGAAAATTGGGCCATATGTTGGGCTTTGACTCATAGTTGACTTTTGGGCCTTTGGATTGGGCCTTTTGGCTTGAACAAAGCTAAGTTAGGGGTAAAGTAGTATTTACCCCAAGTATGTACTTATGGTTATGTGTTGGAACCCAATTATTAATTGGGTGTTATTTTGATGTTAACAGATCGGGAATCTGTCATCCAACAACTAGAGTTTTTGTCTGCGGGACTTCAGCAGTGTGAGGTGAGTTACCTTCCAGTAGAAGTGGGTCTAAGGCCACAATGCCGACCCACTAGTAGGAGTTGTTTGTTAGATAATTGTCTTTGTGATAATTGTCTGGTTAGCAACTATCTGATATGTTTTATGTGCTAGCATGATATGACGTTATGTGATAGTGGTAGTAGGGGGAATAGTCCCCGGTTACCGGTCGATAGGGCCAAAGGGGTAGTCTAGTACCCAACTATGCTAGACAGTACGTTTATGTTATGTTATGTTATTATGTAGTAGTGGTTGGGGTGAAATAGTCCCTGTAACCGGTTGAGATACACCGGAGGGTAGGTCGGGCACCCAGATATGTCTGACAGTGGGGTAGGTTGAGCACCCCGGTATGCTCAGCAGGGTAGGTCGGGCACCCCAGATATGCCTGACAGGGTAGGCCGGGCACCCAGATATGCCCGACAGTACGTGATTTGTATGGTATGTGGTATGATTGGGGAACTCACTAAGCTTTCAGGTACTTCGTTTTCAAAGGAAAGGAGCTGGCTCGATCGCAACGCATCACACTATGTTTTCCGCACATGAGATCTTTGGGATTACACTCTGATATTGTTTTATGTTAATATGTTTTGATTATTTACACTTTGGTTTTGACATGGGATGTTATTATGGAGGTTACTATACTAATAGGTTTTATAATAACATATTTAAAAACGAAATTTTTGGTCTTGAATTTTGGGATGTTACATCTTTATTTTCCTATATAATGAACAAAAAGGAGCTCATATTAACAACAGATATGGTGTGAAATCATGTTAAATTACAAAAATAGTTTGTGTTCCTTTTACTTTTACCAAGTTCACTCCAGATTTGGAACATTTTCTGGAGTTGGTCCTTAATTCAAGGTTTCATATTGACTTTCATCCATGGATTCTTGAGATAAGAACGAAAAACCAGAAAGTCCTAGGGACCCATAATAATACAAAAAACTGAAATAAGGACTTAAAATTGCATTTTAATTACAGATTTGTAATCTTTTAATGTCTTAAAAAAATGAAAAGCTTACAAGAAATGCAAACCTTATAAATCGTGGAAAGAGTCTAGTATGGTAGTATGGTGCCTTTTAATTTGTTAAAGCTTAAGTCCCTTCAACGTATTAAGTCAAAAAGAAAATCTCATATGTATTTGTTTACTTTTAAGTCATGTATCTATTAAGTCGATTAAGTAAAAAAGAAATAGTCCCTTACAAGATTTGTAAGTTGGAAAATGTGCCAATTTGGGAAGGAATTTCGCCACCCACTCTTCAGCTACACAAAGAACTATACACAAAGGTTGAGTTACATACAATATTTCTAAAACAAATAACTAAGAAAGGGTATTTTAGGCATTTAACTAAGAGATGTAAGAACTAATAATCAAACCAAATGTAAAGAAAAAAAATAATAACAAAATTAGATCAACAAGTGTACGAATAAAAACAAGTGTGTTTATGCAAGGAAAATGTTAAGATAGAATGATGTAATCTCTACATATTTGTTACCTTTGAATCCATAAGCCAAACTTTCCTGCAGATCTCTTTTAATGGATCACTTATATGTATGATTGCACAAAACATCCATCAGATAACCTCTTAATTTATATTTCATATTTTCTTTGGTGTTGAGGTGTGCTTTTATATGGGGTTGTTTGAATATGTAGATGTTTTCTAACCTATTTTAATATCTCACAAGTTGTAAGTTCAGAAATTCCTATGCCAACCCGCATAAAAGAAAAGCCATATGTAAAAACCAAAAGAAAAAGACAAAATATAAATTATAAAAACTAAGCAGTTGGGATCTAAATCATCAACCTTTGCAGCTTCAAGGAATAGATATTTATGTTCAGCCAATGCTCCACCAATAATTGTAGTGCAGAAATAATCCCCGAGTTACAACAAGATATACCATAATAACATGCAAGTGGAATCGGGTTGATTGCTTAGTCTAATTTCTTGATTTAGACAATCATGTGATGAAAATAGTGGAAGAACTTTAATGTACTATGGATTTGTGAAAGGATGTTAGCAGAATACATCTATGGCATCCAAAATCTTGTCATTTTAGAAAATGGTGCATTAAAAATACTAACCATGTTCTCCTTTCACCCACTTAAAACTTTTTATAGGGCACACAAAAATGTTCTATTCTAATATAGTTTTATAAGGAGAAGAATTTACACAAAAGAAGCAATGATTCTTTTCTCTATGGTATAGAAAAACACCATACCTCGCCAACAACAATTAATGGAGTTCTCGTCGTAAGAACATACATTTAACATAGTCTTCCCTTCTCTCAAGCATATTATCAAACACATAGTCTGCCTGCGCATATAACATTTTTGCCTTGTTGATTTAAAATTATATATGTTGCTATAAAAATGAACAAATTTTAACCTTCCTATTCAATCAAAATACAACCATGAACCAGACCTGCTATGCTTCTGGAAGAAATTTCACCACACCAATAGGATAAGAAACTAAATATTCAATCAAAATACAACCATGAACCAGACCTGCTATGCTTCTGGAAGAAATTTATGAACCGACACAACCTTAGCTAACTGATTACGCTTAATTACCACAAAGTCTTTGTGAAGAGAATTTTACCAACCATGAGAGACTTGACATGAAATTAAAACATAAAAGAGAGAAGCATAAAGATATTGAATTGTGAGAGGAAGAGATAATCGGTTACAAAACCTGGATTAAATAGTCAAATCCAAATCCTTGTACACAGAAAACGCGAAATCAAAATTAGAAATGCAGAGAGAATGCCTTGGAGTATAATTTTATCAAACTCGAGAATTGAACTTTGGCAATGGCGTGACTAGTGGTGGAAGTTGCGAGTCGATTTCTACAACACAACACCAGTAGAGGAACCTTAACCGACGTTGTTGTTTTTGTTTTCGTGTTGTAGATGACTTTGAATGAACGAAGCATCGATACAATACAAGGGCTTTGAGTACAGACATGAAAAATAAATTAACTTATTTAAAATACTCCGTGTTGTTTTAGTTTCAAACATAAAATGCGACATAAATACGATGGATTTTGTCCATCGTAAATCATTTATATTTTATGAAATATGACATAATTTGTATGGTAGACTTCCATGTGTGTCATAAAACTAGTGTTCGTTGTAATTCGTCTGTCATTAAAAATATTTTTTTCTACTAGTGATTCCACATCGTTGTATCCCTCTTATATTTTTTTATTATTTAGATAAAAAAATATATTTTTCAATTAATTGGAAGGAAGAAAAAGATAAAGAAAAAAAGAAAAAAAATATGATTAGATGTGATCATAATGGATTAATGGTGATGACCACATTCCACCACACCACAAACCATCATGTTGCATGGGGGGATGATATTCACTGTAAAAACAAATTGTCATCTTGTCACCACAAATGCCTCGTACCAACCATAACGGTTGGCCTTTACATGTATTTTGATGAGTAGTAAACATACCATGTATTTTGATGAGTAGTAAACATACCGGCTGGCCTTTACATGTGATATGATGAGTTTTTTTTTTTTTTTTTTTTTTTTTTTTTTTTTTTTTTGGAGAGCGCATGGTCAAAGGTTTCAAGGTATATCATAAAAAAAGATTTGGGGTTGTTTAAATATCGTTTTTACTGTACAGCTTTCTCTACAAAAGGTTTATTTTATGAACAACGGATTTTTTTTTTCTTTCTAGAATTACACAATTATTAAGTAAATTATAACTTTTGAAGTACCATGACGTCGGAATCAATTTTAATAAACCCCACGTTTTAGTTAAAAACTCCATCCAAATTTTAATATAGAATGAACCATCCGAGTCAAACCGTTGATACATATATAATAAACGACAAGATGATTGATTTGTTGAATAACACATGATATAAACTCATTAACAAGTAATTTCCAAAAGCAATATATTAATTAAACCATCAAGAAAACAACATTTACAGTAAATATATAATTAATTTATTAGACACTAACTTGCCACCTCTTAACGCTTGAAAAAAGAATTCCCTCATGCCCAACCCTCTTAATCTCTTCCCCTTTAAGTAGTATGCTTTGCCCATTGAAGAACGATCACAAGATCCTTTCCATTAAGAAATTAACATGACTCGGGATCAACTCAGCTTATTTTTCCGGATCCTCATATTTGTTGGGTTGTTGCATAGCCAGGCATCCTGTAAACCGCAAGTCCCATGTTACTTCATATTTGGGGACTCATTGGTTGATAGTGGCAATAACAATGGCCTCAAAACAGCCGTGAAAGCCAATTTTCCGCCGTATGGGATTGATTTTCCAGAAGGCGTCACAGGCAGATTCACGAACGGTCGAAATGTTGCAGATATCATTGGTCTATTTCTCTCTTTATCTCATTTTGTTTGACAATTTAGATTTTCGGATGTCCATTAAGAAAAATAAAGAAATTGTTTTAGAGCAAAGTATCAATTTACTCATTTTTTGACGTTGTAGTTATTATTTTACTCATTTTTTGACGTTGTAGTTATTATTTAGTGAGGGGTATTATATACAATCATACGATACTAATTTTTCCGGCATATCACTTTCTTTATTAACATTGCATATTTGACCATTTTCATTTTAATTTTCATTTTGTGTATTTTATTAACTAAAACTCTAAACAAAAGAAATGTTAACATTATATAAGTGTTTATAGCTAATATCTTCTCTTAATTTTTTATTGCAATATAATACATATTTCGCCTTTTAATAAAAACATCTGAAAAATATAACCGATTTAAGAGGTCGCTGCTTACCCTAACATTAACTTCGGCTATCGTGGACGACAAATTATAAATTGGCTTATTTCAATCAAGAAACATCGTTGACAATCCTTGGTTCATTATCAAAAAAAATAAAATAAAAAACCAATAAATTAAACAAAATTTCTATGATAAAAAATGGATAATGAAACACGTTGCCATTTTTTTTAAAGTCATATGCTTTTAATAAGTAACAACACAATAATTATATTGAGTAATGAAATGATTTTTTATTAACCGCCGTAACAAGTAATTTTATTTTGAACGGCAATCAAATATATTAGCACAAAAAAAATGACTTAAGCGAGAAGCTCAAGTCAAATACACAAAAAATTCGATAAAAATGACATACATAATAATGACAATTCAATATTACAAAATTTGGATCTGTTTTTAATCCAACTGAAATTGTTGATTCTAGTAAGCCTTCCAAATCATCCATAAGGTACACTAAATAAAGGACAAAATCAATCTAGAAGTTGAGAAAATATTGGTTCTTTGATCCTAAGGTTTAACATGCATATTGACCATTTTCATTTTCATTTTGTGCATTTTATTGCGAATGTAACTTTTCCCAACGTTGGTAATTATTAACTAAAACTCTAAACACAAGAAGTGTTAACATTATATAAGTGTTTATAAACACATTTTTCATAAATACACATACATTTCACATACAAATACACATATACATATACATTTCACATACAAATACACTTATACATACATTTTTATCATACATACACATACATTTCATATACAAATACAAATAAATATACATTTCACATACAAATACCAACATTTCATATACCACATTAAAAACAGAAAAAATAAGAAAAAAAACCTGGAAAATCGCTATGGTGTAGTTATATTTCTCGTTGTTGCCGGAGAAGAAGTGATGTCATCGGAGAAGAGGTGGTGTCACCGGAGAAGAAGCTGTGAAACCACCAAAATACAAAATTACCATACAAATTTGTTACATAAAAACAAATTGAAAGAGAAAGGAGGAAAAAGAGCACATACCCTCGCTGCAGATGCCGGAAAAACACAAGTTTTCTCGCCGAAACACTTATCACAGCCGGAAAAACGGGCTAAACTAGTGGGGGAGAGGAGGAGTGAAGTGGAAAGGAGAAAGGAGAGAGGTTTTGTGGTGATGGTTGCCTGAAAAATCGAATGGAGAAGCTGTTGTGGTGGTAAATCGCCGGAAAATCGTCGAGAGGAGGATTGTGGATAATTATGGGTTGTCACCTGTTCTGAGACACGGTGTTGTGGTAAAAGGAGCGAACCCTTTAGCAGCGCCAGTATTTGTGGCGACAGGATTGCAATTGGGGCGACATGTTGGAGGGAACGGGTCCCGCGTCTTTTTTGGTGACTAGTAGCGACGACGGCCGTGTCTCTATTAGGGTCGCCGCTATTGCTTTCGTACGGAGGAACCGTATCGATTCGATCAGATGAAAAGTGAACGGCTACGATTGATTCTAGACGAAATCACACGGATGGCCGACGTGTGCTATTAGAGACTACGCATTAGCGGCGATGGGATGCTTTTAGCGACGCCACATACACGTGTTGTCACGTGTCGTCCCTAATAATCCATGTCGTCTCTAATACTGTCGCCTCTAATACTTATATTTCTTGTTGTGCTTTTATTGCAATATAATTACATATTTCGCCTTTTTACCAAAACATCTGAAAAATATAGTATAACACATGTATAACCGATTCAAGAGGTCGCTGCTTACCCTAACATTAACTTCGGCTACCTTGGACGACAAAAATTATAAATTGGCTTATTTTAATCAAGGTACATCGTTGACAATCCTTGGTTCATTATCATTAACTGAGATTTGTCTAGATATATTGCTCAATAAAAAACTAAGATCCAACGATATAATAATAATAGGAATAAATTAAATAAAATTTCTATGATAAAAAATAGATAATGAAACACGTTGCCATTCTTTTAGATTAACACCCTTTTTTACAAAGTCGTATCATCATCCTACTTAATAAATGAAGGTTTTTTTTTTGACACATGTCAATCTCTTATAAGTTTTGACACTTGTCATTTTGTGGTATTTTTGAAATAAATATTATCCACTTGTCAATTTTTGATTTGTTTTAATTTTTAAAATTAAAGTTATATACTTATATATGTAAAATATTAAATATCATATATATGATATTCAATTGCAATAAATACGTTTCTTCCTTTCTTATTTTAAAGTATATACATTAAAAAATATTTTATATTTACACTTTAATTTAATTTTTAATTTTTTTAAATCAACCCGTGTAATACACGGATCGCACACCTAGTGCTTTTAATAAGTAACAACACAATAATTAAATTAAATACTGAAATGATTTTTTATTAGTCGCCGTAACAAGTTAGAAGTAGCTAGAAAGGAGAGAAACCAATTACAAATTAATAAACAAACAAATCCAAGTTCTAAATGGAAAAGGCTTCGTTTATAACTACTTTACCATAAAAATCGAATCAACTATTATTTTCTTTTATTCTTATGCTCTCTAATAAATAAAGGTTTATTTTACAACTTACCATTTTTCAAAGCTTTTGTCAAATGTCATTATATTAGATTTTATAATTATTTAAATTCCAATGATAATCTTTATTTTTTTTATTAATCAATAATCAATTCCAGTAATTAATGACTCTAGTATTATATATATATAAAATATTCATTTTATTTAAATGTTTATTAATTTACAAATATATTTGAATTCAAATAGATGCTCTAATGATACAATTAATGTTGTATATTTGATGATATATATTTGAATTCAAAATATACCTTTAGTATTTTTGTATTTTTAATTTGAATTCTAAAAAAATTATTATTTATTATAAATAAATATGTGTGTATAATACATCTTTATTTCTACCCTAATCAATGAAAAAGAACACCATCTTCAAAAAGTATTTCAAAATTTTGAATCATAACAACTATTTATAATATGTCAATAATTTTTTTTATTAGTATAGAATCAACAACTACTTATTCATTATTTCGTTTGTATTTATTTCGAAAGTTAATTTAAAAATTATTTAATGTTTACACCTTAATTCTCAATATCATTATTTAAAATATCTTAATAATTTTTTATCAGTATAGATTGAATTACTTACTTATTCATTATATGGTTCGTATTTATGTAAAAATATTTTTTTTTAAAATATATATTTAATATTTATACATTGATGTTAAAATTTTATTTTTAATAAATCCGTGTAGTATACGGATCTCACACCTAATTTCTATAAAAAAACAATATAATTTATTTTCTTAAATAGGACATTTGTCATCATTTAAAAGAGATATAGAAAGATAAATAAAGAGAAAAATTGTAGTGGTTTAAAATAGATTTAGAAAGATAAAAATGAAATTTTATAACACACTCTCCAACCCATGAAGTTGCTTAAGCTTGATTCAGCCTAATCTTCCGATGCCAATTCAAGTTCGAATCATTATTCAATCTTTTTTTTACGAAGCAGTCCCAGCCGTTCACCAAATAGTACAACCTACTAAACCAATTCTTTAAAGGAATGTTTCCAATCCAAACATTTCTTCAAATAATCTTATTATTCTAGCCCAAACTTCAGAGCCTCGGAGTCGACTTTCACGAAACTGAATCCCCCTATCATCAAAATGCAAAGTCTTTATCACCACAACCTATAAAAATCATGATTCGTTCAAATTAAGTATTCGCAACAAATAGAATCATACGTCTTCTAGAATCAACACTCAAAAGTACCATCTTTTTTCTTTTTTCTCTTTGACCAATCAACCGATGTATTCATCACTAGTTGGTCGTTCAAGATTTGGATACCGTTTCAAAGTGAGACTGCTCTTGACTAACCATTGTAACTCTTCATAAATAACGGACACATTTTCCTGACCTCTAACTAAAAAAGAACTAACTTAAAAACAACTACCAAGAATCCTAAGTCTAGTTTACTTTCAACATGCTTTTGTTTCTTGTATATATCCTTACTCTTTGGTAACTTTAATATTCATAAAAAATATGCTTTTTTGTTTTCTTTCCAAATAAAAATCCATTTAAATATTTTCCAAGAGTTAATTTTTTTTCTTTGAATATATGTGAATTAATTTGCAACTAGCAAAGAACTCGCGGCTACGCCGCTTTTGGGGTAATATGGGGAAAATCGGCAACCTTTACAAAATACGTGCTGAAAGTGTAAATCACCGCAAATAGGAGAGGTTTTTTGTGTTTTTTATGTCAAAATGTAAAAGTTTTGACTATAAGGACGAAAAGTGTCAAATTCATTAAAAATTTGTGGCAAAAACACCAAAATATAAAACTTTTCACTGCAAGGACGAAAAGTGTCAAAGTTACTAAAGATTTGTGGCAAAACCCTAAAAGCACAAAAACTTAATCAAAACACAAAATTGTAAAAGTTTTCACTTTAAGGACTAAAAGTATCAAATTCACTAAACATTTGTGGCAAAAACCTAAAGACATAAAAGTTACTATTGCTAACTTCCTTTAGATTTAATATATATATATAGAATGTATACTTTTTCGAATTAGATCATTCATTTCAAGATTTGTCCAATTAAAAAGCAATAATAATATTAATGTAAACAAATCTTATATTTGATTTAGGTCAATACCTGGGTTTTGTTAACTTCATCCCACCTTACGCTACAGTAACAGACCAAGTAATTAGCACAGGTGTAAACTACGGTAGTGGCGCTGCTGGTATTCGAGAGGAATCTGGAAATTTTGTGGTAATCGAAATTAGCAACCTATTTATTCCTACACTTTAACTTGTAATCTATTATAAATCCATATCTAATGATCATATTTTCCCAATGAAGTTTATAATAATGGGAAGATACAAGAATATACTCTATACCGTAAGGTCTATGAATATTCGTTGTCTTTGTATTGATAAAGATTCAGGTAGTGTAGAAAAATTCTAAAATTTTAAGGCAAATAGTACTTGGTGTTCCTTTTCTTTTTTTCTTTTTTCTTTTTTCAAAGACAAAATTACATATTTACTTAGTTTCATATATCATATTTTATAGATCATTCTATTAAACATGTATAAAAATAAAAATAAAGCATATAATTTTGTTTCGTTTATTACTTCACTGCAGGGTGATCGGATCAGTTTGGATAGGCAATTACTTAATCACGTAACAACAATTTCACGCATTTCTGCGTTGCAAAGAAACAAGACATTTACCAATGAATACCTTATGAAATGCATTTACTTAGCAGATATTGGAAGCAATGATTACGTCAGCAACTACTTCATACCTAGTATTTACAACACGAGTAGTATATATACTGTTGAGGAATATGCAGTAGTCCTTGCGGAACAATACTATGAACAACTAACGGTATAAATACTATAATATTTGGTTTGATTTTTCATAATATAGGCTTTCTTGGCCATTCTTATTCCCAATCGTATCTTCCTTGCAAGTATAATATGGTTCAAAGGTTATGACACTTCTCATTTTAGTTTCTAATATTTTGTGATCTTTAATACTTTACATATTATAAGTACATAGTTTTAAAAATACTTTATCTATTATAATTAAGTGTTCAACAAAACCTTATATATATTTTTTTAAATCATGTCACAGAAGTTGTATAATTTGGGAGCTAGGAAAGTTATTGTGTTTGGTCTGGGTCAGTTAGGTTGCATGCCAGGTGAGATAGCATTGCATGGAACTAATGGAAAACCATGCGTTGAGTGGATTAATGATGCAGTTAAGCTATTTAATGACCAGCTTAAGCATCTTGTAGAGAAGCTGAACAAAGAGCATAATTGTGATGGAAAATTCACATTTATTAACATTACAAGCATGTCAGCAGCACAAGAAGGTAAAAGAGTACAAAATATTCATATTTATATGGTGTTTCATGTTAATTGCTACATGCCTACATCGTATTTTAAAAACATATTTATTACCTAATATTGAATGTACTAACTTAATAAAATGTTTGGATATTGTAGATATACCTAATCCAAATGTTCCTTGTTGTCAAGTAACGAATGGACAATGTGTTCCAAATTCGATCCCATGTCCTGATCGAGATTTGTATATGTACTATGATTCTTTCCACCCCACAGAAGTTGCAAACACAATCATTGCAAAAAGGTCATACATTGCACTTTCAACCATGGATGCATCTCCATATGATATCAGTCATTTAGCTCGACTTTAATATTGTTTAATATCACATGATGTATACGTGTTGTTTTATGATTCTCTTTATGTATGCAAATAAATGATACTACTATAAACAATACCGTCTTATTATGTCTTCTTTTCAACATTTACATCCATAAAATCCGACCATTAATGGACCAACCAATGTTGACTTTTCCCAAATAATAGTATGCCTGAAATATGGAAAATGTTATGATTGTGATAAAGGGTTATGGATTATCGTTAGAGGATCATAGGTAAACAACTAATGGATGTTAAAAAATGGATATTAAATTCAGATCTTGAGTAAATCAAATTAAGAAAAGAGAAATTAAATTGCCTCCTACTATTTCCTTCTACTAATATACCTACCCACTAAAATTATGCCATTTGTCATCAATATTCCATCTCATCTAATTTAATTTGATATTCCTATAGTGCCCTTAATGAGGTAATTGACAAAAAAGAAAAAAAAAGTCACGTAAGATGATGATCACATGAACGTGCGCATGTAATCCCGATTCCTTCACAATACCGTTCTCAAACCCTTCTTCTCGTGTACTCTCTTGCCCACGACAATTGCTACCCGAGCGCCAACAGCAACAATCACAGCAGCAACGATCACAGCAGTAACAATCAAAACGGCAACAATCAGCAACAATCAGGTAGTTTTTTGTTTTAATTATGTGAAGGCACTACACACAGTAATGTTGTTTTTGAGATTGTGTCTTTGGTTAAATTTTTCCTCTTTGGTCCACTACAATTATCTTAGATATGTACATTAATCATATGAGAAAACAAGTAACCTATAGAAATATATTCAGTTATTCAAGTGTTATATCATCATTGAAAATTACAATTGCAATTATCTTCATTATCTTGATCGTGAACTGATGCACTTTGCCTTTGTCTGATCACAATCCTACTCCTTGGAACAAGTTGATCCCATTAAAGTTAATGTTATGGTGTGGACACCTTAATCGTCTTCCCTTGAGAATCAATTTGCATCATAAAGGTTTGGATATCAACTCTTATTTATGTCTGGTGTGTAATCAACATACAAAAAATGTGAATAATTTGTTCTTTGGGTGTTGTTGTTGATTGATACGAATTCCACAACGAGGTTCCTTCCTTTCCCTTTATCTTTAATATCATGAATGTTTCCATCTATTTGATAGTTATTAGTTGTTACCTTTGATATTAAAGGGCAAGTTTCCTTTTATATTTTCTTTTATATCCTAAATTTTATTTCGTTTATCACTATTATAATCGTGTCCCTCAACATTGGTTTTCTGCCTTGTGTATTTTCAAGAAAGGTTTTCATGTCCGTTCATTTGTGTTTTATTTTCTCTTTAATCATATATTCTACATTCATGTTTGGTTGATTTTCCAACAAGTGGGACTAGAGCCATGTTTTTGAAACCTGCAAATGTTTCAATTAAATTCCTTGAAACCAACAAAGGTTTTGAAGAGTGTTAGAAATAACATATAATATTATCCTACTCTCTAGGATATCTAACTAACAGGTCATACCACATATCATATACTATCATCCTACCCTCTAGGATACTGATCTAACAGATCATACTAGCATAACATAACCAATAACAATTCAAAGGGCCTGCCCTTGGTGCCTTAGACCCTTGAGTATAGTGAGGTAAAACTCATCTAGCACTGCTGAAGTCCCGCAGATAAAACTCCAGCTGCTGGTTGACAGATTCCCGAACTGTCAACATCAAACAATACCCAATTAATAATTCGTTTCCAAGCCCAAGGTGCAACTCACACTACAAAAACCAATAGTCAAGTAACGGGCCAAAGCCCAACACATGGCCCAATTTTCCAAATTGGGCCTAGACCTCTACATGGTCTTTCCTTAAGGCCCGTTCAATTATTCTAGTCCAAACTATTTGTATTCCCATGGCCCAATATCACATAATCATAAAGGCCCAATTATGGATCAATTTTCCATTTTGGGCCCAAGACTCTCATATGGGCCTTATCCTAAAATCCATACAATTATTTAGTACATTTACTTATTCTTGAAAAGCCCATTATTAGTCCAATCACCAAAGCCCAATAGGAAGGCCCATCTCAAGGCCCATGTGGAATTAGGATTTCACATAAAAAATGATGATTAGGGTTAAGTTTCCAACTTAACCTATTAAGGACTTAATCCACTAATGACTTAATCCATTAAGTCCAATATTGCTTAGATTAATCTTTGCCAATGATTATTATTTAATATTTCAAACTATTAAATAATTCCCGTGTGTGTGTCCCGATTAATTCTCAAAATTAGGGTTTTATTGGCATTAGGGTTTTCCAAACCCTAATTAGGGCTTCCAACCAAAATACTAGCCCATTTATCAATTTGTTGGGCTTTTAGGTGCATTAGGGCTTTATTGGGCCCATTAAGGTCTCATTGTGCCCACTAGGGTTTCTATTGGCCCATTAGGGTTTAGTAGTCCCTTGTCCAAACATCCAAACGAGTCACAAACCAAAGAAGGCACACCGCCACCCGACACGGCGTCCGGTGGCGGCAGGAGGCGGCAGCCACCACCGCACGGTGGTGGTTTTGACTTTCTTTTTCACTATTCCGATATGGTTACAATTTACAATATAATCCAAATTCACACACACTAATAACACCCACACACACTAATAAACTCACACACACACACGCAACCACCTCGTGGCGCCCGGTGGTGGTGTATGGCGGCAGAAGAGCAGCAAGCAACCGACCAATAGCCACCATGGTGGGGTGCCATGCTGGCTCCCACGTTTCTGACCAACTCATAAACACGCCCACACGCCGACACATACAGAACCATGCACACACACACGCAAAACACCCACCGAGCATGGCGGCGGTCGGAACAGAAACGACAGCGAGCATGGCGCAGCAGCAGCGTTGACGGAGGCAGCGGCAGACGACGGCGCTTTTGACGAAGAGGTAGCAGGCGACGCTATCGGCCGGCTACAGCGGAGCTGGACTCGGCTGGTGGTTCCCGAGCGTTGGTTACATTTTCGGCGGCGAATAAGGGCCGAAGGCATCCTAATCGAGCGGCGGGGGTCAGACACATAGCTTCATCATTCCGGCGTCACGGTGAGCACTAGGGGGTTGCTCCGGTGGTTTGGGGTCTCAACTGAGGTGATGGCGGCTAGAAGTTGGGAGGATGGCGGCTGCACAACTAAATTTAGGGTTAGGGTTTACATGTGGGTTAGGATAAATATATATATATATTATATATATATATATATATATATATATATATGTATATATTATATATATATATATATATATATAATATATATCTAATATATATATATATATATATATATATATATATATATATGGAGTTACAAGAGGGTGACGGGTTTAACCTGTCTTCAACTTTCAAATCTATGCACATTTTACACTTCCAGTCCCTCCCTTCTTATTCTTTTCAAATTAAATCCAAATATTACCGTTTAACCCCTCCTTCTGAAAATCCTTACAATTTAAGTCCAAATAATACCAAACACCCCTTGACTTATGAAAATCTTCACAAATTAAGTCCTAAAATTACACTTTAACCTCTAGAGATTCAAATCTCGATATTTGGCTTCCCGAAACCAACAACCCACTAATTGTTAATTAATTTTGGACAATAACAATATAAAACAATAATAAAAATTACTTCTCGGAGTTCCGGGTTTATTATTTAATTAATATATTTTAAATGGGATGTTACAGCTCTCCCTCACTTAAATTTTATTTCGTCCCCGAAATCGTTTCTTCTCATTCCTTACACGCCAAACAACTTGGACTACAATCTCGAGCATAACCCTAGCCTTTCCACGAAAACCGCAACCAACCCTCACAAGGTTCTAAAACCTGAAAATAGACGAATCCCTTGCAATATGATCACATTTACTCAATCCATAATATGAAATCTCGAGATGGTCTAGCCCCCTGAAAGACTGCCCACACTGGGTCATTGTCGAATGCATTGCACTTAACTCCCAACTGGCTACTCAACTTCTGATAACCTTAGGTTCCCACTAGAAAACAGAATCATAAATCCCACACTGCCAACTATTATCCTTTAGTTCCCGAACCACATATATATAATAACCGGCTCATAAGCACAAATACTCATTCCTGGCCCAATCAGCCTCGGGCTGGAATACCAGGCATGCCTACGTCGGGTCTAGTCATCCCTAGGATGGAATACCCCCGTATCACACACATGTTTGGTCCAATCAACCTTCGGGTTGGAATACCAAACACGTCAGTTCCACTCAATCGTGGGTCCGGTCATCCTCACGATGGAATACCCTAGATTGGAATACCACTACATACATAACTCGGGTCTAACCCGTAAGTTGAAATCCAAGGACCTATCCTTGCATCTCATCCAAATCCTCTGATTCGTCACAACCGAGTAACACTCATCTGAAATACCGGGTTCCAGCCCAGTGGCGGAGCTAAAGGACTACCACATAGTTGTCTCACACGACTTCCGAACGAAATCCTTCCCTGGAACTAGTTGCCACTAGTTGTCATGCCACTGCGACTCTAACAACCTCCTGCTGCAACCGATCGGATCCATGTGTCAAATCTTGACGTCACCAAATCCAAGGCTAAAAGTGATTGTTACCTGACTAACTGTAGACTTATATCACAACAACCTTAAGCAATCCATTGCTTCCTTGGTCTCATAACTGTAGTGATGCTCCTACAGTCTTATCACTGGTTTAACCAGGTCTAATCCATAAACCAATCTGTGGATTTCCATATCCTCACTGCTATACCCGAACTGGTGGGCACTACTGTTCCTTCCGCGTTCTAACAATGCGTTCATGCTATCTACTAACCAAGTGAAGGTTGCGGCTATACCCACAGACTTACATCACTCAAGTACCATCTGCTAACCTTGTGAATGCTACAGATACCCCCGCAGTCTTACAACACTTCCACCCTAACACAATTACAGCCCGATACCTTACCCTCAATCTATCAATCCAAAA